ATAGATAGATAGATAGATAGATAGATAGATAGATAGATAGATAGATAGATAGATAGATAGATAGATAGATAGATAGATAGATAGATAGATAGATAGATATATAGATAGATAGATAGATAGATAGATAGATAGATAGATGGGTTGAGGGAGGGAGAGAAGGATCGAAAGATGAATGAATTGTTGGATGCATTGACGGATGGATGGATTAATTGTTAACAGAACGCTTCCTTTAATAGTTGCGCAAAATGTATCTTGTATATAAGAATAAGCGAAAAACATTCACTAATGCACTTAAAACTCAATCAAATAAGATCAAACAACAAATTGTTCATGTCTAATTAAATACAGTTTTATTTTAATTTATATAAGATATTCCAACTGATAATAATGTGTATAATATGTATATAAGTCAACCTTAAAAGTAATTTAACATATTCAAAGTTGTTAATATTTAAACACCATTTCTCGAAAGCGAATGATGTTATTTTCAATTACTAATTTATTACCTGAATGTTTGTTTGCTATTAATAAATCTGTATTTAGATTAACATTTTTTTTGTGACATAATTAATAATTTAATTTCTATATGGAAAATAAATAAAACACATTACAGAGAGTCAATGTTTATTTTAATGTTTATGCTTTATAACGTATTTAAATTTTTTTGAAAATTTATACGTTTTATACCAATTGTTTCAAGTAACATGATACAATTTTTTATATAATGAAATTAAAATTTCATCTGACTTTAAATCTTAATTGAAATTATTGCTTGCTTAATTCAACACGCTAAGTTTTATACCCACCAATAAGTGTGTTCTATTTGAAGAGAAAATCACACAACAGGATACTGCTGTCTTAAGCAAAAGGAAGTAAATTCTAAAAATAACTGTGTTACTACACACTGTATAATATAATGTAATTCCTAGGGAGGCTTTTGCAATTTTAACGAGTGTACGTTATATTCTTTTGTGTTTTTTTTTTAACTGAACTTTTTGAATGAAAACATTGTTTTTTATAATATTTAAAAAAAAAAATATTTTGATTTCGTAAAATATAACATTGCTTTAAAAAATTAATATAAACACCATTTTATAAATAATTTACTAAAACGTAATTTTTTTAAAAAGTACTATTTCAAATTTGATTTAATTTTATGTTAGTGCAAATAGCTAGGGGCTTTATGGCTTCAAAGACTTTATTCAATATTTGGTTATCTTTAACTCAAACTTCCATGTTTCATGTGTTGTCAATTGTTTTGAAAGTCTAATCCTTCAGCTATTTTTCCAAACACTTAAAAATCCCAAATCACATTTAATATCTCTTGTGGATTATCACTTATATTCTTAATATCACATTTTAGTTTTAAATGAAACAAGGAAAAAAGGAACTTATTTTGATTTCAACAGTCATGCTCCTGAAAACGAAAGTCGTGTTTTACAGAGCTTGTGATGTCACAAATTTTGTAAGGACAAACATCAATTATTATTTAACTCTTCATCATTATTTTATTAGGCTTATTCCTATTTCAGAACTGCAGTACAATCAGCTCAAAGTATATCCTTGACTTGGCCTATGTTGAAAAAGTAAGTGTAATTAATTTATAATTAATTAGACTAATATTTGGTTTTAAATGTTTACATTATTTTTGCCTGTACTTTACATAAACTACATACTATTATTGATTTAATTATTTTTTTCTATTTGTAGACGAAGACCGTCTATAAAAACGTGTTTATTACCACAAGTTATATAATTGAACATGTATATCTTTCACTTTTGTATTTAAATTGTTTAGCATATAAATGATTTGCCGATTACTTTTATGTGCATTATTATTAATTTTATCTATTTATGTAACACCAATATACACAGGTTAATTTGTTTTTAAATTCTATGATATACACAATTTAACTTAAATCATTTATTAAACTTTACTTGTCTTTATTTAACACATTCTGACCATTAAAAAAAACATAAAGTTCGACCAAAATTATTAAATAGATCTATAATTTTATATATTTTTTACCTGCGAAATGCATTTTATTTAATTTTTACTCTTAATGTATTCGGTCTCTATTACCGTCCAGTTCACAAACCAGGTATACCAGTAGACCTATAGCTAGTGGGTCTAGTCAAAATAGAGCAATTTCACAACACCGTTTTGCCGACAGTTTCCCAGATCCATTGACGAAAATGTTTTTAAAGACTCTTTAAGCAAATAATAATGTAGTCGTGGAACTCTAGTCCCCCAAATTAAACATTACTTTTTTAATCCTACCTATATGCGGTGAAGAAAATGCTACCTAGAAGATCTTCCCCCAACTTGGTTTATTTTTCTTTATGTGTAACCTTATTCGGTTTTATATGATCCATTAGTGGAAGCTGTAATTATGTCCCAACAAAATAGTACCTAACCGTATGGTTGTCTAGATGCTTGCATTACATTACTGGTGCGGTGTAGAAAATACTAGGCCGGTTTCGTAGACAAGGAAGAAAAACGCTCTCCCTTAGCCACAGGCTGCAATAGAGACAAACTGCATCCGGAGCAGGATGCTTTAGGCACATAAAATATTATTTATTTTCGTTTAGTTTCGAGCCTAAATTCATATGACGCTGGCTTTTATATCACAAGTTAGCAACTTAAAGTGGGTTTAGTTATGAATGAATCGATTAACACAGGCTTATGTGGTGAACCCGTCCAATAATCGCTCATTTTCGGGGCACTCTGCGATTATGAGCTCTACTTTTCAGCGGCAAGGTTGCACTGCTGGAAGTTCGTGTCTCTACGTGAATTGAGTCTTTGCAGATTGCTTAGTGATGTCTGTGTTAGTCTTCATTTTAGTAGTGGTGCTCTTTTCGCTTTCTTGTTTGCGAAAACTAACATATGGAATTCCTTAACAATACTATTTTTGTTCTTATTTCGATTGTTTGATATACTTTTTTTTCAGACCATGCAACAAAAGATGTTTGTAAAAATCTCAGTTTTTCTATATTTTTTTGGTATGTTAATTATGTTTTTCACTTTTAAAATACTTAAAATTTACATCATTTGCAATATATTTTTGAAACACATAATTTAAAATTCGTTTAAAAGTTAAATGCTTTACATTATTATCACAAGTTTTTTATTATGATTACTATACATATTTTTTTAATCAAATTTCTTGTATTTAAAATAATATCATAACACATAATTTACTTACATTACTGATTCAATCAAATCATAGAAGTCATTTAGTCCTTGTTATTAAAAACATTTTTTTTTTAAAATATACTTCCTCAAATATATCTTAAACTATACAATAATACAATATATTTAGCTCCAATTTGGAATATATATATAATAGTTTGTGTCCTTATCTTTTCCAGATGTATACATGGCTGAGTGGTCTTCTGTGGAAAAACCACATTCATTTATTTGTGACTATGCCACAGAAAGCATATCTTCTATTGTGTGGAAAAAAAATGAAGCATCTTATTTTTCATGTTTTGCTTATAACATGCCAACATGTGTTCCAGCGGATGAGAACAGTAGTTTATATTACGAGGCAAATTTGACATCAAATGCCGCGTCATACACAAGTGTATTTACAATAAAGTCTGTACAATTAGTTCATCATAACACAATTTGGATTTGTCAACCCGATTTGACTACAGCATCTGCAAAACAGTATAATCTCTATGTTTTTGGTGAGAAATTGTTTTCGTAAAGATTAAACATAATTTGTATATATATATATTTATATTAATGATTCAGTTATAAGCTAAAAGAAGAGTTTAAAGATTGAATTTTGAACCCTGTAAATACAATCATAATTCGAGCTATGAACTCAATGATTAAATGTAATTAGAAATAAAATAAAATTCATTTAATTATTTTTTCAAAGCACCTGCTAAAACACCAAGATGTGATAGTGTAACTCTTCTTAATGACACCAACATTGAGATACATTGCTACACGGACATCGTTTTCCCATTAGCTGTTTGCGGATTTTATGTAAATACCAATGTAAGTAAATCATATTTTTAGAATTGTCTTTTAATTTAAGAAACTTAAAAAAATAAAAAAATTAACAAATTAAAATGAAAGGAACGTTGATAATAGAGAAATGGTAGGCCTAAAAAAAAGTATCTGCTAATCCGCTTTAAGAACACTTTGTGGTGAAAACGTAAGTAAAATCTATAACCAAAAATGTATTTAAGATATGAAAATTAATATAAATTATCCTTTTGGCTAAACATTAATTTTTAAAATAATTTTAATATGTTTAAATGTATCTGTGTTTACAACAGGCTACAAGAGAAGTAAAACTAACCAATGGATCCATCTCCTATATCAGCCAACCATCACTCACTAAGGGATATAATAGGACTGATTGTACCTACACTATATCTGCTTACGTTTTAGGAAGTGGAACACATTTATTTAGCGTTGAAATGTATCCAAATATAACATCGAATATAACAGATGAAATAAAAAGTAGAGGACAATACAATGACCCTACTATGATAGGTAAAACTGAACTTTTTTTTTTATATTGAGCAAAGTAAATTACTCTTGTTTACATATATGACAAAATATAGAATTGCAAAAACAGAACAACATACTAATATATCTCTCTAAGTTCGATATGGGTTTGTTTGTTAGACACCTATAGTTCTAAAAACCAGTGAATCTAGAGAGCAGACATTTTCCAGATTAATTCATAGTTACTCTTGAATCCTTATAGGACTGGTCATTATTTTTTCTGAGCTCTGGTAGGCATACTTTTTACAAAATTTGGATTTTCCCCATATTGAGCAATACACAAAAAAGTTATAATTTTGAGCTAACGCTATTTTGGTCATGCAGTATTTAGATATGTCTCTCCTTTATGAGATAAATATTAATATTTAAAGGACGGCATACAAGCTGTCGGAAGAAAATAGTTCAAAAAGATAAATTTGTCACAGCCTATGTCTTTTCCTTTTAAGACAGGCGCCACAATATTAATAATTTAAAAGAAAATGTCTGCCGAATTTTGTAAACAATTTTAGTGATATTATTTTTAAAGGTGAACCGCAACCATAATATGATAAATTTAGTTCTTTATGGAACAGTTTTCTAATGTTAATTTGAATTTGAATCGTAATTTTTGTTTTTATTTTATAGGGCCTCGTCCAGTAATTATTTATATGACAATTTACTAAATACACGGTTATTATTATTATTTTTTAAATTTACACAAATTATAATGTTTTTAACATGAATATTATATTACAAAGTTATTTTAACTTTTATATATATAATTTCATCGTTAAATTAATTTAAAAAATCCATTCTTATCTAAAATTTCTTTTAATTAGATAAATAATCATGAGGTCGGGGCATTTTTTTGCCTTGAGGTGATTTTTGGCCGCCATATTGACAATCTTTTCAAACTTCACTGAAGATGTGAAGGCTACGCGCAAAAAATTTGTAATCATGGCTCAAAATGAATCCTCCTACGGTGCTAAAAATTATAACGGAAATCAAGAAGTTATACGTGTCTAATAAGTAAACAGCCTATACAACATTTTTTTTGGTTATAAGTCCTTTATAAATACATATCGAGCAGGGGAATGGGGCTTAAAATTTGACAAAACCTGCATACCAATAATGTCCTTTATAAAATTTCTTATTAGTGCTTATCACTCCCACTCCCACCCGCAAAATGCTAACAACCGCACAATATTCTTTTTTTTCACGCCCCTAACACATATTAATTTTCAATTGGCCATACGCTTTTACACAGCCATATCACTATACCTACTGTTTCCGTAAAACAAAAGAAACTAACGCACTGAAAGCAGATGCGATATTTTTAAAGAATTTAATTTAGCGAGGTTATCGTGAACTTTATTTCGTGAAATCAGTTACGTTATACTTCTTTCATCTTTCCCTTGAAATATAGGAAATATCAATGTTTTAGGTGGTGAATGTGAGGTTAGGTCTGACGATTTGAAAGAATGGGTTGTCATCGGTAACAAGGCTACGAGTCAAGTTTCAACTCGCTAGTTTGATGGGAATTATCCATTAGCCGTCCGAAAATTTTGCCCCAAAAACTCAAAAGCGAAGTTTAAAATATTTTAAAACAAGAGGAAGACAGATGTGATTATTTTTTCTTCCTGATAAAATTTTCGCTCTAAAAGGTAAGTTTTTCCTAATTTTATGACAACTAAAATACTCTTCAATTATATCGAAAGAATGTAAAACAAATATATTTACATTGATCAGCAGTAATACCTACATGTACGTGAACATAAATAGTTAAGCTTTCATCAAATAATTTGTCGTTACTGTGTATTTAGTGTATTTGTTCACAGGCGTAATAGTTTGACATTTTTTTTTGTTTACACTGAATACGATAAAAAGGTGCAATAACTTTTTGATCTATAATTTTTTTAAAATTCATTTACATTTTGTTCAGTTATTTAATCAAAAGATGTAAGCTTGTATTTATTGTTGCATTTTATTATTATTTTACAGAATTTATTGAGAGTTGTGACTAGGATACTTGCCAAATGAAACATCCTTATCGTTTTTCAAGTTTAATTTAAATCAATGAGAGGAAGATGCTTTGGAAATCTACAAAATGCAATATTAGGACAAATATACTACCTTGGTCTTAAACTGGACTTTCAGTTGATGAAAATGAAATGTATGCATTTATTGGACTAATAATCCACAATCTCTAATTGTGTGAACTGTTACTAGATAAATTGAGTTGATTGACATGATTAATGAATTCATAATTTGTTAAAACGTATGCCAACAAACCAGGATATAAAAATAATACAATAACGTTTCTAAAAGAAACTTGAATAGACTACTGACAACAGGTAGAGTTTATTTTTATTTTTGATCCCAATTAATGTATAGGAATGCAAGTACGGTATTTAAAAAAACAGTTTAACAGTTTAAAGAAGGACACAAATGATAGGATATTCTTATTATATAAAAGTAAAATGATACCGTTATTTACAATCATAACTCAATGATTTATAACTTCTTGCAGAGTTAATACATACTTTTACAGTTTTTGATAAAAGATGGCAAATTTTTAATAAATACAAATAATATGGACAATGCGGTTTTAACAAAAAATGAATGAAAACTCGTAATTTTTATTTTGATGACATTTCTCATTTTATGCTGATAGTATGGTAATATTTCTTTTAATCTTTAAAAGTAAAGCAAGGCGTATTTTTTTTTTTTAATCTGATAGCTTTAGCATTTTTGGCTTCTCAGAATTGATCAGGTGGTGGCAAACTTTTTTAACAATGCCTATGTTTCTGCCCTTTTGACTAAATTATTATGGCCTATCATTCTTTTAAAACTAAACAGTTTCATTACAGTAAATATTTAATGAGCACAATCTTTTTTTTATAGGTTAATGTTCCTTTTTTTCTTTTTTTTAGTTTGTTTCTGTTTATAAGCTAGAGAGATAATCTAGACTAATTGCAATGTCATTGTTAAATAAAAATGTTAATGTTCTGGAAGGCATAAATTATCTTATTTCGTAACCAATAGTTCTTTATTTGTACACAACGTTTGTTTGCTTTTGCTTTTTTAATATGTTAATATTATAAAGTAACACTTTTTTATAATACTAATATTATTTTTCTTTTGAAATAATTACCTTGTTTTGTTTACTAAAAATAATGGTAACTAACAGTAACGAAGCTAAACATTCGCTGTTTTTGTGTGTTTTATTTTAAAAAGTGTGCATGCCTTTTTTTCAAGTAGCATTATTAATAAAATTTTTAAGTATATTTTTAGAACGTTTCAAATTTTTTGTAAAAATGAATATCATTTATTTACTCATTAAAGATTCTAACTTAGGTCTCATTTCCTTTTTTCTCATTATTACTGTTTCTGGCATGTTTACATAATTTTTTTTTTAATTCACACAAAACTCAATATAATTGCCTGACATCAAATAAATATATAATTGACTGTCATTTCATCTTTGATATCAAATAATGCATAATTATATTTTGAATCTGGCTATACATAAAATGTTATTACTGTTGATTTATTCGTTAAGCAAAGGGGGAAACGTCCAGAAATAAAAAAAATAACTGTGAGTTAAAGTACTTAATATGTCTTATGATGCTTTAAATTTTAATAAAATGTTATTATACTTTTAATTTTCTCAGACACCTTTTCGAAGCAAGAGTTTTCAGCGATGGTTACATAAACGAATCAGTGAATTAATAATTAAATAGAATAATAATTTAATAAAATACATTATTATTGTAGACTTAAAACATTAAATGCAATATTCGTAATAATAATATGTTTTTAGGCACTATTTCAATCGAAAATAACAAATGATTCCGTTTTAATTGCACATTTTAATAGTGATTTTCTGTGATGTAAAATTCTATCTTCTACATTCTAAATTAAATTGGACTATTCTGATGTAATTTAGGTTATCCCCAGGCTCACCTGGAAGATGATTGTTTTGTCTACATCAAAGAAAAGGAAAACCGGACGTGCACGTGCACCGATGTTAGCAAAAGTATTTTACGGTCAAAAATCACTTGGTCAGCTGAACATGAAATCATGAACATTGAAACAAACAGAACACTTATAAGGAGCATCTCTTTATTTGGTAAAGTTTAAATTGATGTATCTATTATCTTATTCGTATTAAATTTAAGTGTATCCTGTAATGTAAACTATATGCATACTAGGGATTAACCGTGGTCCGAGTAATTTGAAACAATACCCGCTGGGTCCAAGTGCTATAAAAGAATGTTAACTTTTCATTTTCCATAATATATGTTGTCCGGTACACAATAGATATATAGACAATCCTATACCATACCCACAGGGCCTTAAACAATATGCCTACAGACAGTCCTGCACCATACCCGTTACTCTTTATTGATTAATACTGATTAACATAATAGTCGCCTCCGAAAAAGTTAAAATATCGAGCCAGGTTTCAACCGTCACTCATGACGCTCGCTGCTGGACAGCTTTATTTTTTATCCCACTCAGTACTATTAATATAAAACAAGTTGATTAGGGGAGATGGCCGGTTGCTTTAAGGTTGCCACTTCAGAAACAAATATATAACAGTGATATGTGCTATCTCTTCCTCAGGAGGTTTTATTGTCTATAACATATAATTTTTAATTAACATATTAATAGCTTGAAAGCAATCGCTTTGTTTATATTACATCACTTTGAAATTCTACTTTTCCTTTTTCTGTTAGAAAGTTTCAACTGTAACTATAAAAACAATATATATTGATTGCAATCCATTAAAAATTATAAAATTTAATGAATCATCTTTTGAACAACCATTAGTAGTTTCAATTTTATTATGGTTTGGCATATTTCCAAAATATTTCATTAGTTTAGTGCAAAAGTCCAACGCTGTTAGAAAATCTTACATTACTCTCTGAAAAAATCCTTGTTTTAAGAAGAGTGGCATATTAGGCTAATATGAGATGGAGACGATGATGGAGATATAGAAGATTATAAAAATTTAATGATTAAATACAATCATAGTAAATCTTTTACTCAAAAGCATTCGTTGACTTTTACATTAACAATTATATTTTCGTAGTGGGTAGCAGCCATCACTCAGAAAAGATATCGGCCAATCGATTCCAAATAAGTCGATGCTTTTTAGGTCAATCCGTCCCGTTTACATGCATATACAACCTTTCAAATTACTTATGTAAAAATTTACATTAGATTAATCGTTCTTTAAATATCAAATTACATGTATTAAAATATTTGTTATCTTTATTGATCTATCTTTTTTACACTCCACAAATTTTGCTGACATTATAAACCACTGTCGTTTTGTAAAATTTAAAATAAATGGTAATCATTTAATTTTAAATAACTGATTGATATTTTAATTAAGATGTATTGCCATAATCTATGCTCTTCCCTCCTGTATCTCTTCTTAAATTATTTTAATACAATATGTTTTTAAAAAAAATATTTTCAGAGGGACAATCCTTTACATGCACCATAAGAAATACGATGAATTTAACCAATAGAATTAATTATATCTTAAAACGCAATTGTAAGTAATTTAATTGGAGTATTCATTGATTAACCCAAAATTAAGTTATTATAAAATAACTAAATTGGGACCAATACACATATTATTAAATACGAGTAAACACATTGTTTGACATATTTAAAAATATTTTTTGTTAAATAACTGGGTTTCGGACGAAGTTTGCTTTTTAAATAACACTTAGTATTATACGTTTTATCTGTGCACAAAGAAAAAACTTAAAGAGAATAATGATTCTATTCTAATCATAGTAATCTAATACAGACCCTTTTTTCTAATAAAATTTGTTATACTTATGTAATTAACATATCTGCTTTTTTTTAACAATTAACCCACAAACATATCTGTAACATTAAACGCTTTCATTTAGCAACATTATGACAAAACTATGTTATTGGTATAAAACTGAATCAAGACAAACGCATATTAAATATTATACATGATGCATTTTTCAGATAAATTACCCGATACAGATACTGAGGTTAATTTTATTGCTTTAGGAGCAGGTGTTGGTGCTGGACTATTGTTACTGGTGGCTACACTGGTGTTTTGCTTTGTTTTTCAAAAGGAAGGTCAGTGTCCTAGTGTGTATTTGGGTTTTGCAAGCTAAGTTTGGAAATAGTTCAAATTTTGCCTTGCATGCATGTTCATCATTAACGCAAAATAACTTTCCAAATAAAACATCTATACCGTTAGGCCAGAGTCACCATGTCGATTAAGAGAAGATTACAATATTAAAATTGTTTTTTTTAAAGTTTTATTAGTTCTCAACAAAATGAAAATCTGGAAGGCTTCATAATGATTCAAATGTGACTTTAGTGACGATTAAATGCCACCAGCAATCATGTATGGCATTCCTCTATTGTGAACTATCACAGGTGATTGATAGCTCATGAAGGCAAAAGTGCTGTCCTATATAGTTTTACTCGATATTTTGGAATCAAGAGCAATATTTTATGAACACTGAATCTATAGAAATATATTTTATAGGCAAAATCAAAAGATGTACATTCTTTTTTTCCTTCAAGGTTTTATTACATTAAAAATATTCTATTAAACTGTGGTCCTATTTAGCATCGCTTTTTAGCACATCAATTTGTGGCACTTCCGCTATATGTATTTATCATGCGGTAACTTGTTGAAACCATACACATTTACTAAAAAATTGTTGAATAAAACAAAAACATAATAACAACATTCTCTATTTTTATGGCAATACTGTGGAGAAATTATAGAGCATTATCATTCTTTAATTTGAGCTTAAACCATTGCTCAATCTTTTTCTCATGCTGTCTATGATGCTTCCAACGATTATTCTATATGACCAGTTTTCGAAAAGAATAGACGATTCACCGGAAGCCATTTCACCTACTGGCTATTTTGCATCTGGAAAATTTCTACACGGGCCCTTTCTTTGAAAAAAATAGAGAAATTATTTGCATAAAAGTAACAATATAAATTATTTTTAAAATGTTGAAAATTCAAGAAAGTACATGTATCATATAAATGTCATACACGAGAGAGGTCATGTAATATTTTGGTCTGTGTTTAATCGAAAATTAAGATCAGCCATGATCATCTGTTTTATCGATGTTTGCACTAAATAAATCGAACGTGTAATTGATTTATATTGCCCACATTGCATATTCAAAATTTGGGTCACGTTTTTAAAAAAATAATTATTGACGTAAAAATTTTAGCCAAAATTGAGCCTTGTAAAAGTGTGTGTAATAACGGTTATGAGTCATTATCCTAGCTTTCTGGCTCCTTATTCTCAATATTAGTACCTGCTTTTTAAGCATGAATTGCGATGACCGACATACTGTTCAATTTTTAGTTGTTATAAAGTAAAAGAAAGTCTATACAAATTAAAAATTATTGAGTAAAATAGGATAGAAAGCTTCAAATGTATATATGTTTTTTGGTTTATTTTATTTTATGTTGAAAATTATTAAAGATTGAAAGATCGCCTCTGTCATTAACTACACCTTTAGTATATGTTTTAACAAATACACTCATTTAAATTTTATGTTACAGACTTGTGCCTCATCAAAACTAATTCAAGGTATGTATGTTTCAAGAAAACAATACATATATAAACGCTTAAATTACGTGTCAAAGGAATATATCTTGCATGAAAATGTATAATATATTTTAAAGTGTTAAATTAATTATTGTCATACATTTTATTTTTAATTATAACATGTCTTACCTCTTTAAATTGAACAAAAGATATATCTGAACTATGAATATTACAATTATAGTCAACACATAGTGTAAATGGAAACGCTGTTTTTTACTTTAACAAAGTTCATTCTTATCTTTATTTAATTAAAAACTTTAACTATACTGCAATATATATGTTCAGGTAAATATTCTTAGTATCGTTAAAACACTTAAATATATATATCAATCATATAAATAGCATCATTTCAATCTGTTAAAATAATCTACTTATATCAAAGTATTGAATTGTCTTCAATGACACTTAAGAATTTTGGGATGTTGGATAAACGCAGCACATGCAACCGAACTTTTCACGCCATTTCTTTGCCATCTTATAAGTGAAAGAATATTGTAAGCCTGTGGCCAAACTCTTCCCTTGACTCAAAAGTATTCGCACTGATACAGTTACTTTAAATGTTTGATAATCGTTATATTCAATTTTCTTAGCAAATTTAAGCTTTTTTCTAAACGAGCAAGAAGGAGCAGCAGTCGAAGGTAAAAATCGTTATGGCACCGATGGGTAGACTTAATACTTAATTGTATAGACTCTCTAAATAAGATATTGCCGTTCCTCTTCGTGTAAGTTCGAACCATGAATCAAAATTAGTTTCTCCAATTTATGCAATTAGCGTAGTTACTTCTTGGCTTTCTTCTTCGAATGCAAGTCCCTCTTTATTTGGCAAGTGTTTGGGTAGTTTCCTCACAGAATGCGAACTATTATTGCTTCTGTTGCGCTAGCAAGTCGAGTGTCAATATAGTTGGTAATTTTTGATTTCGTTATAATGGATTTTCCTCTGAATATCTGATCTGATGTCATTGTTGGTACTAACAAATCATTTGAAGATATAATTGTAGATGTATTTGATTGCATTAAAATACATATAAATCTCCCCATTACATTTTTATCTGTAAGTACCGTCTGTATGGCAAGAAGTAATGTTACGCACCGTTGTCAGAAGGGAAAAATTAATCTCCTATATGGCTCTTTATAAAAACTGTGCATAACAAAAGACGAGATCAAATGATGAAAGCAATAACAAATAATACGATACTCGAAACAAGGCTAATTACAATTAATACGTTTTATTAAGTTAACAATAAAGAACAAAAGTCAAAAAGAAATATAATTTTGTTTAAACTGTAAACTTACAGTATATTGGGTTGCTGGTTCCTGCAAAAATTTCAAAATTAACACATATTCAAAAATGTACAAATAATGAAAGGAATGGCTACTGTAAACGAACTCTCACACGTTCCAAAATAACTATATCATGCTATCTGAGCCTCTCGCATTGCAGTCTCTTCTGTCATACAACAATGCCGTATTTATAGTCTTTTCCATCGAAAATTCCCGATGTATTGGTCTTTGTTTTAGTGACTCAATCGTTATGCAATTTTCTACTACATTCGAGTCAACGAACAGTTAATAGAATGGTTTGTTTTAAAACAAGATTAAATGGAATAACCCACACCCAATACTGACGCAGGCGAATTTGGGTCAGCTTAAGGTCGTTTACCATAAAAAGATTAAATTTGAAAAAAAATAGAACGCCTATAAATAACACGTATGAATTATTCATCACTGCCCTTTAACCATTTCGTTTTGTTTTGGAAAATATTTTGACACTGATAAACTGGATAACCATTGACATTCAACTTTCTTGTGTAATTGAACTGCTCTTAAAACGCTTTCTTGCAATGCTCGAAGCAAGTGTTTTGGGCGCAGGATCCGTGACTCACACATCTTTTGGCCATCTCTTGTAGACCAGGATTTTATGTTTCAACATTAATATTTGCGCTGACGAATTGATCAATTCATTCTCCTATTGTAAACATATTATCTGCTGTAAAGTCAGCAAATTAAAGAACTTGTGGTATGCCTCAAATTTTGGAATTTGATTGTGTACACTACACATTTTGCTTGTCCAAAACGGTCCCTTCACGATCACGTCAGTAATGACCTAGTCATAGATAGCTAAATAATGTGCAAGACATCTACATCAGCTGGAAATCCAAGCATACAATAGAAAAGCATCATTTAGGTCTGTGTGGAAGCAAGCAGTGAAACAGTCAAAGACTGTATGTTACGCACTGACTTGTATTGGGAGAAATTAATCTAATATTTTAATTTTAATTTGGCTCGTTGTAAACATTGCCTAACAAAGGACGATACCATAGAATCAACAATATTAAAGATACGACCCAAAACAGTTTCTAGTTACAATTAATTAAGATTTATTATGTCTTAAGATAATTAAAAAAATAAAATAAAATAAAATTACAATCTTCAACTTACAGTATGGCAGATCTCGTACCGGTACACAGTTAATACAATTAGAAATAATGATGTCAATAAATAATGCGAAATAAAGACATATAAGTAGGAGCACACAAATACACAAAGAATAAAACCCGCCTCGTAATGTTAAGAAAATCTATCTGAAAATTCTCCGACCTTCGTCCGTGCCTGTCAATCCCTTATATAGGTGGGTCTACCGACGCCTAAGCCCTGCCTTCGACAAGCTACATGACATTTCTAGAACCATCAGAATTATTCTACAAAACACTACTTGGAACAGATTAATTATTTTTAGTAGTTTGGCGGTGTAAACAAGAATACTTCAAAGGCCTAAGCCACACCCTTTTGTGAACACAGCGTCTCATGTGGGGTCAATCAGAGGGCACGCACGAGAAATATGATGTAAACAAGCTCTCTATAACACCTCCCCTCTTAAAAGAAAAAAATGTCATTGTTCAAAAATGGAATTCTTTTTCCATTTAAATTGAAGAAAGTACATTTCTTACTCTCAAAATATTAGACAAAAAGCTTCTTAACAGCTTACAAACAATAACATAAGTGAAAATTAATTTCTGGACAAAGTATCTGCAATGACATTATGTTTGCCTTTAATATGTTTGATGTCCAAATTATATTCTTGTAAAAATAGGCTCCATCTTAACAATCTTTGATTTTTGGAGATAATCTTATTCAAAAATGTTAAAGGATTGTGATCAGTAAAAACAAGTACTGAATGTAAAGAACAACTGACATAAAAATCAAATTGTTGGAGAGCAAGAATTAAACCTAAACATTCCTTTTCTACAGTGGAATAGTTTTTCTGATGTGAGTTGAATTTCTTTGAGAAATAAGAGACAGGATGATCTACATTGTGGTCATCTTCTTGAAAAAGAACTGCACCAATGCCAACATCACTGGCATCTACAGCTAATTTAAACTGTTTGTTAAAGTCTGGTGCAATGAGAACAGGAGCATTAGCAAGTATATTTTTAATGTTTTCGAATGCTTCCTGACAAGCATCTGACCAATGAAATTTTGCATTTTTCTTTAACATATTACTTAAAGGAGAAGCAATAACTGAGAAATTTTTGCAAAATTTTCTATAATAACCTGCCATTCCCAAAAATCTCATTAACTGTTTTCTAGTAGTGGGTGGTGGAAGTGATACAATAGCATTTATCTTAGCTTGAACAGGCTTTACATGACCTTGACCCACTATGTGACCTAAATATTCCACAGTTGCATGACAAAATTCACATTTATTTAAATTTACAGTTACATTTGCCTGCAAAAATTTTTTAAACAGAGATCTTAATTGGTTTACATGAGATGAAAAATCTTGACTGTAAATAATTACATCATCAATATAGGCGCTGCAATTTTCCTGGTCAGCAATAATGTTATTTACAAGACGTTGGAATGTAGCTGGGGCATTTTTCATTCCAAACGGCATTACTTTATATTGATATAAACCATCTGGAGTACAAAAAGCAGAGATTTCTTTTGCTCTGTCAGATAGAGGAACCTGCCAATAACCTGATAGTAAGTCTATCTTGGTTACATATTTGGCATCACCTATTCGATCTATAAGATCGTCTATCCTTGGAATCGGAAAGGAATCAGTCTTTGTGAATGCATTCACTTTCCTGAAGTCAGTACAAAACCTGTAACTTTTGTCAGGCTTTGGGACTAAAATACATGGTGAACTCCAGTTACTAGAGCTTGGTTCAATTATATCATTTTCAAGCATGTATTTTATTTCAGACCGGATTATTTCAAGTTTTTCCGGATTGACCCTATAGGGGTGTTGCTTGACCGGAACTGCATTGCCAATGTCAACATCATGTACAGCAATGTTGGTTTTATTAGGTACATCAGGGAAGAGTAAAACAAAATCTGCAATAACAGACTTAACAACATCCTTCTCTGACAATGACAAATGTCCTAGTTTCTTATCTAAGTTGGCCAATACTTCTGAATTTTTAAGTTTATAATTACCAACTTTTTCTGGGACACTATCAAAGGTTTCAGTAACATTTTCTTTAAGTACTGAAGTTACAGTTGAGATTGTGTTAACATTTGTTTCTGAGGATGGACAATGATCATCACATTTTCTATCAAAATATTCTTTTAACATGTTAATGTGACATAACTGTTTCTTTCTTTTACGATCTGGTGTTAACACAATGTAATTTAAATCATTGATTTTGGACTCAACAACATAAGGACCAAAATATCTAGCTTGTAGTGCTTGCCCTGGTATCGGCAAAAGCACAAGCACTTTGTCCCCTGAAGCAAACTGTCTGAATTTTGACTTTTTGTCATACCAAACTTTCATTTTAGATTGTGAATCTTTTAAATGTAATTTAGCCAAATTAACGGCATTAAAAAGTTTAGTTTTAAATTTTTGGACATAGTCAAGAAGTCCTTCCGTGGGTGTCGATGACATCCACGTGTCTTTTAAAAGTTTAAGGGGACCGTGAACCGTGTGGCCAAACACCAGTTCGAAGGGGCTGAATCCAAGTGATTCTTCAAACTGC